CACAGCCCCGCGCGGACCACGGTGGACCTGCTGCGACTCAGTGACCGTGTGTCCGCAGCAGCGTAACCGCCGTCGGCTCTGGGACTTGCACCTGCAGCGGAAGCCGACCTCCTGGCCTGAGGCGCAGCAGCCGAGGAATCCTCTGATTCTGAACTCGGGGCCGAGACGGCAGGTTTGGGGAGGAGGAGTCCCGCTCCTGGGCGCCGTCCCCGAGCTCGATGGCCGTCCTTTGCGGATTCGCCTGGAAACTACGTAAAATAGCTCTTACCCTGAACTCCGCTGTGGTGAAGTCCTGGTGACCACTAATGTTTGAGTCACAGATGCTACATGCAGCTTCCTTATTGTGAAAACGTTAAACCAGGAGGGGGCCTGGCCCGCGCGGCTCAGTGGTCGAGCGTCGACCCAGGAACCAGGAGATCACAGTTTGATTCCCGGTCAGGGCACAGGCCCGGGCTGCGGGCTCGATCCCCAGCGGAGCGTGCAGGAGGCAGCCGATCAGTGACCCTCCCATCGTTGATGTTTCTGTTTCTCCCTCTCCCCCTCTCCCTTCCTCTCTCACTAAAAGTCAATAAAAATGTTTTTTCAAAAATGTTGCCCGGCCGGGCTTGGCTCAGCGGTTGAGCGTCGACCCAGGATCCAGGTGATCGGGGTTCGATCCCTGGTCAGGGCACATGCCCGGGTTGCGGGCTCGATCCCCAGTCGGGGGCGTCCAGGAGGCAGCGGATCGATGACTCTCATCGTGGATGTTTCTGTCCCTCTCTCTGAAATCAATAAAGGTATATTTAAAAAAAAAAAAATGTCACAAGTTAAACAAAAAGCCAGGAGGGGCCGCTCCCACCTTGGCTCCAGGTGTGCCTGGGGGCCTCAGCGCAGGTGTGAGAGAGGCCTCTCGTTTCTCCTTGTTGGCCCCACCGGGGATGTTTTCCCAATGATCTCAGAGAAGGTGGGATGTGGGAGAGACACCGATTGTCTCCTGAACCCGCCAGGCTGGGCTGGGGATGAACCTGCAACCCAGGTACGTGCCCTTGGCTGGGAGTCGAACCTGCGACCCTTTGGTGCGCAGGCCGGAGCACTAACCACGGGCCACCCCGGCCGGGGCGGGGTTTCTAGTTTCTCACCCCACCGAGCCGCTGAGGAGCTGGCGCCTGCCCGTCGGCCGACCGTGATGACCCGTTGCCCACTTACAGTAGGTTCGGGCCACGGGACCTCCCCAGGCTCGGCAGCTCTCTGGAAGGACCGGAACAAGTCACGGTCAGCCGAGACCGGACACGGGGCCCGGTGCAACCAGCCCGGGTGGCCTCTCCCGGCGGAGCCCAGAGTCGCGAACAGTGCCTCGCGCTCCTGCCACGGCCCGCCACGGGCCCGCCANATGCGGGAAGTGTCGCTCGTTACCTCTGTCCAGGGTGTCCGTCCAAGGCTGGTCACGTCATGGCCGACCGCCTGTGTCTGGCCTTAGTCACTCAGCGCCCAGCCTCTCAGAGGTCAAGCTGACCTCTGGCCCCGCCACAGATCAGTGTTAGCACCTACTTGGAGCCACGTCCCCAGGTAAGCAAAGACTTACCAGGCGGGTCCCCTGCGGAGTTTGGTCAGGGGCCGAGCTCTGGGCCGTGCCGGCGATGACGCCACAGGGCTGCCCATCCCTGCACGTGAGCGGCAGGCGCCCGTCAGGAGGGAAACCTGACCACCTGACATACCTTCGGGCCGCCACGTCCCTGCTCAAGGCCCCGCGCCCGTGGATAGCTGCCGCATGTGGCAGCGTTTGTGGGAAGACGCAGAGCGGCACCGAGGAGCACGTCACGCTGGTGCTCACACGGACGGCGGGGTTGGTTTCGCCGGGCGGGGCCCCGTGGAGCAGACGTCCGCCTTCCCAGATGACTCGCTTTTCTCGTTAGTTGACCAGTATTGTTACCAAAAGTTGTGCTCAGCTCTGTTTCGTTTGCGGTTTTGTAGGTAGGGCTGGGTAGGGCCGTGCTGGGTTTGCGCCTGTGAGGCCACGTGTCACCTTCCACCCCGCAGACGGCGCCCCCCTGAGCCGCCTGGGACCTGCCCCCGCGTTTCGCAGCTTGCGGCAAACGGGTCTTTGCGCGGAACTCTGAAGTTTTTCTTTCTTTTTTTTAAAGAATAGTTTATGGTGGGGCGGGAGCTGGGCAAAGGGGGGGACAGCTGTAATACCCTCCACAATAAAAATAAATTTAAATAAATAAAGAAGAGTCATTCTCGTAGCCTTTCATCGGAATAAACGGATTTTTCCTGCCACTCAAAAAAAAAAGTCGATCGATTTTTAGAGCGAGGAAGGGAGAGAAACGTCGGTGTGAGAGCTGCCGCCTCCCCCCCATCGACCCCCAGACCTCGCGGCGCCAGGACGCCTCCCAGCCAGCCGAGCCACGCTGGCCGGGGCGCAGCCTGGGTCTTTAAGGCCCCGTAGACGTGCGAGACGCGATGGGGGTGTTCCGAGTTCTTGGAGCAGCTGTCTTGTCTCCCGCGGGCTCAGGAAAGGCGGGGCTTCCGCGTGGGGCGACATCCTGAGGCCGGGCTGGTGGGAGGCGGCCTGCGGAGCCCACTCCTCGCCGCATGCCCCTGGGAGCCTCCGTGTTTCCCGCCGAGCGTGAGCTCGCCATGGGCGTGTCACAGGCGCCTCTCGTCGGGTTCAGGTTCTCTGTGGTCCCCATTTGCTTAAGAGCCTTCGCCCGGCAGGCCCTGGCCTGTTTGGCTCGGCAGGTAGAGCATCGGCCCGCGGACCTCAGGGTCCCGGGTTCGATTCCCGCCAAGGGCACGCACCTCGGTTGCAGGCTCGATCCCCCAGGGGGCAGCCAGTGACGCGTCCCCCTCACATCTGGGTGTCTCCCTCCCTCCCACGCTCCCCGAAAAGCAGCGGAAAAAACATCCCCGGCTGAGGGTTAAAAAAAAAAAATTTTTTTTTTTTAAATTTCATCAGGAATATTGTTGGGTGTCGTCAGGCCTCTGCGTCTACTGAGATGGTTTCTTGGTTCTGCTGACGTGGTTCTCGGTGTCAGACCAGCTTGTGTTCCCAGAGGAACCCCGGCTTGGCCTGCTGGTGTTTGAGAAGTTGGTCACTGGGTGGCCCGTGAGCCGGACGCTGGCTGGGTTTGGGCGGGAGGCAGCCTCGGGCCCGCTGGGGACCGTCCCCCCTGCTTTCTGGGAGGGCTGGGCTGGAATGGGTGCTCATCTCCCCCGGGCGGGGGACCCCCTGCGGGCCGGCGGGCGGGAGGGCTGTCCCTTTCTGGGTGGTGCGGAGGACGTTCATCCGGGTGCTGAGCTGCCTGTTGCACCTGCGCGAGCTGGTCGCTCGCGTCTTTGGTGGGATGGGTCCTTTTTGTCCTGGCTGGTGGATTTGTTGGCACGAAGCCGTTTCCCTGCCCTGGCTGCCAGCGGAGGGCGGGCGGCGGGGTCCGCGACCTCCCTGCAGGTCCTGACGTTGGGCACGTGGCTCATCTCGCCCGGCCCGCCGGCCCTGTCACCTGTCTGCACCTGCGCGGCCTCCTGCTTCCTCTTTCGTGCCGTCCGGATCCGTCCGTTTCCGAGGTTCCCTTGTGAGACTGGCTGCGCTCCTCTGGGCTCTCGGACCCAGAACCGCCTCCGCAGCCATGGGACTGTCGTTCCCCTGGTCCCCTCACCCCGCGCTCACCCTGCCCCTTCTCCCTGGCTTGGCTGCTGCCGGGCAGACTCGCCGCTGGTCTGTCCCCCGCTTGTGGGGACGTGTGAGCAACTACTTCAGGGTTGCTTGACTCCATCTGACGGTTTCTTAGGACGAAAGCATCGGCGATTGGCCTGGGACCTTTTTATAAAACCGCTTTATGGAGACGTAGCCTACGTGAGATTAAATTCAACCCTTTTGCGTTCAGCGACTCCTGGTGTTTTCCCACGTCCGCAGCGTCGCTGCGATCTGAGCTCAGGGTGTTGCCGACACCTGAGACAACCCCCCGCAGGCCTGGGAGCTCGGGGAGGGCGCCCTGTCTGCTCCCGCTGTGTCCTCAGGGCAACAGCAGAGCCTGGGAGCACTGTCCCAGCCTGTGCCCCCCAGGTGCGCACCCGCAGGTGTGTCCTCACGGGTGGGCCCCCACAGGTGTGTCCTCACGGGTGCTCGCCTGCGGGTGCATGTCCGTGGCTGGGGCCCCTCCCCAGGGTCCAGGCAGCCCAGCCGGGACCTGCCTGCCTGTCGACAGGGCTGGGCTGGGTCCTTGGGCATTTTCAGGCCTTAGTGCAGTTTGCTTAATTCGGTGCCCAGTGTTGGCACTTGGGCCGCATCTAGGCTTCAACCAGGTTCCAGCTCCGGTGAGCCCCCTGCGCAGCCGTTTGCTGTAGAGCTGTCTGCCCGGGGTGGGACCGCGCTCCTCAGGGACGGCGAGGGGCGTTGCCGGGAGCTTCGCTGCACTGGCTGGGCGGCCCCGCTGGCGGCCGGTCGCCTCGTGGTGTCCTGAGCCTCCCGCCTCCCCTGTGGGGCCTGTGTGCTTCGTCGTGGGGGAAGTTTGTGTACCCTGGACGGTTGGGGGACTCGGCCGGCGGCACCGTCTGCATCTCTGCTGGACCCGTCTGCCCGGGAAGCCCCGGCCTCCGCTCACTGCCTTTCTTTCTGGAGAGGAGGCTGGGGGGACCGCGTGGGGGGATGTGGGGTCCGGCAGCCCCAGTGTGCTCACTGACATGGTGTGGGGGTGGGGGTGGCGGTGCCCGTGGCCGTCCTTCCTGCCCTGCCCACCCCCAGAAAGGACAGGCTCCTGGAGGCGGCTGGTGTCGGGACGCAGGGGACAGGAGGGCTGCAGGCCCCGCCAGGGTGTCCCCCTCCCACCTCGTATCTGGCCCCCACCCAGCACCACGGACGTGGGCCTGGTTACGCCTTTGCCCCCTCCCGTTCCCCCTGTTCCAGATCGGAGGGTGTGAGCCGTGGAAGGGGCCAGGGCTTCCCCGGGTCCCGGGGGTGGCGGGAGGTTTGACCGTATCAGCGACATGCGGCAGGGTGACGCTCTCTCTGTGCCTGTCCACAGACTACGTCTACTTCGAGAACTCCTCCAGCAACCCCTACCTGATCCGGAGAATCGAGGAGCTCAACAAGGTAGTGCCCGTGTGCGTGTGTGTGCGTGTGTGTGCGCGCCATATGCATGCGTGTAATGACTGCATGTGCGGCGGGGGGAGCAGGGTGTCCACCCTTCGTGTGGCTCCACCCTGGGGCCACGGTCACGAGACAAGACATGCCCCCAGCCTCGGTGCCCTGTTTGCAGGGGACCTTGGGGGCGGGCGCGGACTGGCCACTGCACTGTCTGCTCAGATGTTTTGGTGGCTTCGTCCCCGAGGTCGTCTGCCCAGACCTGGGTCCCTGGTGGCCGCGCTTGAGGGGTGTGGTCAGCAGGGCCGGAGTAGAACAGGAGTGTTGAGAGGGTCTGGGCTGGACGATTCCTGGGACCAACTAAAGACCCTCCGAAGCCACACCCTGCGCCCGGGCCACAGGGCCTCGAGGTGACTACATTCCCTCTGCCTCCGGTCCCTCCGCGTGGGTGGGGCTGATGACCCTCCCCGTGGGCGCAGTCCCGGCCGTTGACCGATCAGGTCTGTGAGGCACCCGGAAGCCCAGGCCTGGCAGGATTCTAGATGCGCGAGGGCCAGTGGGACTGAACACGCGCCTCTCCTCTCCATGGCGACCCCCCGAAATAGCAGGAAAGCAGCACCAGGGCTGCACCCACGGGAGAGGAGAATGGGGGAGGCCCCGCCCTGAGCTTTGGACAGGGAGGCTTCCGCCACGGGTGGGGTGGCGGGAACGGTGCTCCCCTGCGGGGACCGGTGGGCATGACTGGGGCCTGTGCGGGTCAGGAACACAGGAGGCAGTGGGGCCGTGGGCTCTGCCCCTGCTGGAGAATGGACTCGGCCCACTTGGGCACAGCCCAGCCGAGCATGGTGGGGCTGGAAGTGGGGTGGTTTGTGGCTCCCAATGGGGCCCCTTGGCCCTGGGGCCCCAGGGCAGCACCTGCCAGACAGGAGGGCGGTGAGCGCCCATCTCTGCAGAGCCCGGGACACCCAGAGGCGAGAGGGGCTCAGGGGAACTTTTAACCTGAAAACTGGTCAAGACAGACCAAGAAGAGGAGCCGGTGCCCGAGCAGAAGAAACTAAATGCAGACAGACCTCTCTCATCCCCGGAGGAACAGGTGGAGGTGCCCAGAGGCCCAGGGCGAGAGCAGCTCAGAAGGTTAGAGTGAAGTTTCGTGTTAGGAGCAGAAATAAAAAACGGAGAGAAAGACTCGGCGCTTCCCAGAAACTGGGACAAAGACACAGAGACCAGGAGAGACAGTGGAGGTCCTGGGGGCCCAGCACCAGGTAGCAGGAATTGTGGAGAAGGGGACAAGCTGACAGGGCCTGAGATGCACCTCCCGGTGCTCGTCCCCCCGAAAACCACGTCCCGAAAGACGCAGGCGCCCGGGCAGGGACAGCCAGGGGCTCCCCCGGGTCCCCATTGTGTCAGCGCATCTGAAACAGATCTGAGGACCCAGATGGACCGCATGGCACGTGGAGCCTGGCTAGGGTCCCGCCGCTGAGCGAGGGCACCAGGTGAAAACGGGTCCCTGGCGCGGAGGGGGCATCGGTGCCTAGGGCCCAGGAGCAGGGGCATCGGCTCTCTGCCCTCTTCTGTACGTTGAAAACGATCCTGAAACAAGGTTTCTTGAAGAAAACTGGTGGCCTGTCCGGTTGCCCTGGGGCCTCCTTTCGGGAGCTTGTCCTGGGGCCCTGGGGGCTCCTGCTCAGCTGCTTGTCCGGCCTCCTGGCTCTGCCGGGCAGCCTGCCCCGGTGCCCCCTCCCCAGGACGCGGGCGTCTGTGAACTTTCAAAGGAACCTTCGAGTTTTCTCAGGACTTTGGTTGGACGCCTGTTGCGTTTACATTGTTGCCGTGGAAATTTAAATCTTTACGATACTAGAGAAAATTGCTGTTTGGAAAGGAAAGGAAAGGAAGGGGGGGGCTGAGGCAGGAGAACAGCGAGGTCAGGCGGGGACGCGGGACAGACCCTGGGGGACGGGGAGGGGGCCGGGCCCGGCTGGCGCTGCTCTGTGCGGCTCAGAGGCCCCGCGGCGGGGCCCGCCAGTGACGCCGCCAGGAGAGGCCCAGAGAGGAGCTGGGCGGCGGGCGGGAGGCCTCCCAGGAGCCTGTGTGTCTCGGGACCCTGCCACCGGCAGGAGCCGCCAGGAAAGATGTCCTAGGATCAGAAGCCGCACTGTAGGAAACCTGTTCGGTTTAGAAGGTGGGGTCCACCTTCTCAGAAAGGGACACGAGGCAGAGAGATGGGCAGCCGACCTCAAGGGGGCTCGGGGACCCCACTCAGAGAGCCCACTCCCCAGCCTCGCGTGCGGCCGTGGCGAGGCCCTCGGGACCCTGGCCCTGGAGCTCTGCGGCCACTGCCTGGCTCCCCGGGCGCTCGGGCAGCGGTCAGAGGCCCTGCAGCTGACCCAGCTCTGCCAGGAGTCCTTTGGGACCCGAGCTCAGGGAGGGGCCCAAGCAGATCGAGGAGACAGATTGGAGGCGTGAAGGTCAAGGCTGCAGGGTCCGGGGCAGAGCACCGAAAGGGGACTGTTTGGAGGGCGGGTTCTAGAGTCTGGGCCTCCTGGGTCCCACCCAGGCTGGGCACAGGCTGGACTGTCAGACCAGAGGGCAGGCGGGAACCTCTGGTGCTCGGGCAGGGACACAGCTGGGGACGGGGCACGATGGGCCCCATGGAGCCAAGAGGGTGCATCACCCCGCACCCCACGGATGTTACCGTGTGAGGGCCACACTCCGCCTCCGCCCCGGCGCCAGTGCCCGGAAATGGCTGAAGCTGACCAGAGGGCTGATCGTGACCCGGATTAAACACTGCGGCGGCCACAGCGGACATCTTCCTAGGTGCTGTCGCGGCGAGCGCTGGAGTGTCCCTCGCCATTCGAGCACCGTGTTCTCCAGGCAAGACTTCTGACCAGGGCTCGTGGCCTTTGGTGGCTGCAGGTGCTCACGAGTCTGACCACCGGACCACGCGTGTCTCATAAAGCAGCCGGGTTCACGCTCGCGGTCGACGCTCACAGACGTGAGACGCTCCTGGCTTACTGACGGACTCCTGGCCTAATGGATTAAGGAACTAAAAGTTGAACGCTTTCCTGAAAGATAATTTTGTTCAACGTTATAAATGCTAGTACGGGAAATTCTGCAAAGGTTAGGATTGTGATAGGTTTCTTGCGTTATTATAAAAAATGTCGTAAGCTCCCTTTGGAAAAAGCTGTGTTCTCCCTGCGAGGTCATTTACCCAGCGGCCTGCCCGGGCCCTTTGGCCTCCCGTGTTTATTGAACTCTGAGCGTGGAGCAGCAGCTCTGCCCTAGTGCTGGGACAGGGCTCTCCGGGCCCCCGGGCGCCTCTCAGATCCCCGGCACTGGGTTTGGTGCTGCGAGTGACCCAGCCAGCGGCCACCTGTCCTGCATTGGCCGCCTCTGGGAGCTGCCAAGGCCGGGAGGGGTGGGGGTTCCCCAGGCTGAAGGCAGAGCAGGTTTGGCTGAACTCTGGTCACGTTGACCTTCCTGGTGGCCAGGTGTCAGCCAGGTTCTGGGCCCAAGCAAGGCCTGAGGGAGGGGCTCGGGAGCCAAGGTGC